TGTTTTCCAACAAAACATCCATTCAACCTTCCTATCCCACTCAGAAACTACAGGAAGCTATTTATGTCTGTAGCCCACTCTTTTTTTTTTTTTTTTTTTGAGACAGGGTCTTACTCTGTTGCCCAGACTAGAGTGCAGTAGCACCATCATAGCTCAAGCTCGCTGCAGCCTCGGCCTCCCTGGGCTCATGTGATCATCCCGCATAAGCCACCGCACCTGGCTTGAAGCCCACTCTTGCCTCGCACACTAGTCTCTGGCAAAGCAGGTGTCCATAGTTTTAATGTGAATCATGCCATATCACTTAACCTAAATAAGGAACAGTTACAGAGTTTAATATCCAGCACTGATTGCATGAGAAACCCATGGTTTTATGCAAGTTCTCAGACACTCTTTTAAAATATATCAGATCCATCTCTTCATTACAAGGTGCACTATAGGAACATTTAGGAACAAATTCCTTCAGTAATGAACCTCACCTGATACCTCACTTTTTCCTGGCAGTCATTCACTCACTACCCTCCTCTCCCCGTAAGTACCAGCAACCAGGAACACACTCTCAGACATTCTCTCTCTCTCTCATCTGTCCTAGAGGGCATCACCCAAGGCTGCTGGACAATAAATCTACAAGAAAAAGCCTGCTAGCCAGACATTCCCTCTGCCACAACTGAGACCCTGTTGTTTCTTGAAGGTTTGGGACAGCAGATCATTCTTGGATTGAGTGTGTGAAGTCAGACTTTGCTGTCAGCCTCCCGAAGGATGACACTCATCACATCCTGGCATTCTGAGAGCCAACCTGGCAGGAATGAGCTTCTCATTCTTACCCAGACATCACAAGAGATGCCAGGCCTACTCTGGGTTCTACCTAAAGGAGGTCTAAGGAAATGGAGCAATTGCTTTCTCTTTGGAATCTTTGTTGGTTATTCTGAAATACTGTAACATTTTGGAGCATAAATGATAACGGCCCAAATGATTCTTTTGACTCAAAACAACTGAAAAATAAAAGATACGAAACCATTGACTACAATATTTTTGCGGGAAAAAAAAATTTCTTGCCCAGGTGCAGTGGCTCATCCCTGAAAGCCCAGCACTTTGGGAGACTGAGGTGGGTGGTTCACTTGAGCCTAGAAGTTTGGGACAAGCCTGGGAAACATAGGGAGACCCTATCTATACAAAAATTACAAAAAATTAGCTAGGCATGGTGGCATGCACCTGTGGTCCCAACTACGCAGGAGGCTGAGGTGGGAGGGACTGCTTGAGCCCAGGAAGTGGAGGTTGCACTGAGCTATGATCATGCCACTGCACTCCAGCCTGGGTGATGGAGAAAGACCATGTCTCAAAAAACCAAAAACAAAAACCTGTTTATTCTAGGAGGACTTCTTTCTGCCTGAAAAAAAAAAAAAAAAAAATGACATTCGGCCTGCTTCAAAGTTTCATCAGATAATCATTAGTAATCTTCAAACACAGAAGATCCACAAGAATTAAAGAATCAGGATGGTGAAAACAACCTTAAGTTACAAAGGCCATTTGCCTCAACACATAAATGAAACAATAAACAGAGATAAATTAGGAGGCTGCCCCAGTGTAAGTTTGGACCAGAATCTTAGTGTTCTGATTCCTGATCTATACTTTCTGTATCTCTCCTAAATCCACAGCATTAAAGTTACCATTTATAACAATAGCTCAAGGAATTTTTATTTCTAAACAGAGATTTGGCACAATTTCCACATTTATAACTACCACAGCAAAAAACATTTTTGAAAGAAGGAAGAAGTTCCTGAGAATGGCTTCCTGAATCTAAAGAAGCATTAAATCAAGAAAATTCATCAAATAGCTGACAATGCTATATTATTATTAATAAACAACATTTTTCCTTTGTGATCAAGTTAATAACATAATGGTATACAATTTTTATTCTAAGAGAAACGGCCCAGTTAGGTTTAAAAACAAAACAAAACAAACAACAACAACAACAAAACAGATACTTCACTCTGTCAATCAAGCAGTCACTACAGTGGTCCTTCTGGTCCTTACCCAGAGTTAAGTATGATATAAAGGATATGCTAAAAACCATCAAGCTTTGAGATCTTCAAACTCAGCCAAAAGTCATTGCCCTTAGGCTGCTTCACTTTTTACCAACCATGCTGGGCTTCCATATTGCTGTCCATATGCTGTCATAAAGTGACATGTTCTGGCTACCAATGCCTCCACTGTCAACACCCCAATAGTGGAGATGAACAAAAAGACAGGGCTGCTTAGCTGGGCAAAGCCCGATTCAGTCAATTCTTTGATGTTTCTTTTTGTAGACACAAATACCTAAGCCTGAGAAGGTGGCATTCAAATTCACAATTTTAGCCTCAACAAGAACATTATTGACTTCACTTAATGTAAAACAACGATGTTGGATAATCAGGTATTTCTTAGGTATGTTCTCAGCTTTGAAATAAATGACAAAGTATATGAGGAGAAGAATCTTAAGAGAATTATTCCTATTACAAAAACATATCATTCTACAAGGGGATTCACAACAGCCTTTTAAAATCATGTTATACATTATAGAATACTGCAAAGGAAAAAGACGTATATATGACATGCTAGAAAGGGATTGAAAGTGCGTTGCAGCAGTGATAATATTGAATGGTTCCGTTTTATTGATTCAGGCCCTTGAAGGATGCTACTGAGCTGAAGGTCATAGGTTGGATCCCAGGATATGTCATTTAGGTTTGAGAAGAAGAGAGACCTGCAGAACTTCTAACTCTAGATACAACTAGATTGTGGATTTTCAGATAATTAAGAAGGTCCAAATGGTTAAAGACAGAGCTGTGACAGGAAGAAACAAAGTAGACAGTATTCCAAAAGTCAGTAGCATTCTATGACTTATGTGCCATATTGGATTATTACTCTAAACATTAACCATAAACTTTCACTTTCCATACAGGCCCTTTAATCTCTTCTACTTAGATCAATGGCCTGAAGGAAACTGACCAACTCACTACATATCAATATAAGGACATTTGCTGTCACTGACAATTGAAAGCAGCTCACCCCTTTACTTTGGGGTAAAAAATTTAAAAAATTTTTACCCCTGGTAGTCGAGTCATGGGATTCTGGGGAAAAAAATTTAAAAAAAGAAAAAATGTTTACAAAGAGGAAAAATGAACTTCTAGTTTTCAACTTTATTAATGTGTATCTTTTTCAAGGCAGACAATCTAAGTACAAAGCCATCTCCATTCTAACAAATTAATTTTTTTTAAACACAGTGAACAGCCTGGAATCAGCACAGAGAAGGAGGATGTCAGGAAATTTCAGCTTTTTGTGCACAGATCGTGCTTTTGTTCTCCAACACATAAGACTGCACATCTCTTTCAAATGCATAAGCTGTCTAAAAGTGAGTCCAGCCAGAATTTATCAGACACAATTTATCGGAATTCAGCAATTGTGTGTGGATCCCCTACTATGTGCCAACATAGAGGAACCTGCCATCCCTGCGTCTGCTTGTTTCTGGAAAGACTGCAAAACAGAATAAGTTCAAATTTTCCATAACCAAACATTTGCTCTAGAGGTAACTCTACACCTGCAAACACACCCACTTTTTCACAGTGAGCCACAGCACTGCATGGGATCAATGACACATCTGTATTAGATTCCAATAATTTTAACATACGTCTTTAAATCTGTTGCTTTGTGTTTGTCAATTTCCGCAGGCCAACAGCTGACTTCGTTTTCAAGCAACAATGTTATCCAGTGAAAAATACACCTTCCTGAAACAAAAAATACTTTTTGTTCCCATGAAGCTTTGTTGCCTTTTCCAGCAGCAAATGACTCAAAAGACACGCTCTACCATCCTCAATAGTGGTTTTCAGGCCAAGAGGAACAGCGAATGAGGTACCAGCAAAAGCTTAAGAAACAAAACCAAGGTGAGTTAAGGGCAGGGAAGAAAGGCAGAGTGGAAGTGAGAAATGGAATCTGAACTCCACTTTGTGATCTAAAAAATAGAGCCTTTACTGATGAATTGAGCAGAGGACGGGGAGGGTATAAGAAAGGGAAAGACAATATTTTCTGTTACTGAAAAAAAAAAAAACTGTGCTGCTATCCCGGTTTTATTTCAGTAGCACTCAGAGAATACATGGCAAGCACAATCTAGTTTCGCGACGAAAACGGATTCCATGAGAACACAAGTTTCTATGTGACACAATGGAGATATCCAACCAAACCGAGGAACTATACAACTGCTCAAAATTTTAAGTGCGTTCGGGTACCAAAAAAGAAGTTTGTGATTATTCGCAGGACGCGGTTATTAGTTTAATATCACTAATTTACAAAATGTGCACCCGTCCTGTCATATCCTCTTTCAAAGAAAGCGCTAATGACCTGAAATGCTATTAGCCCGTTTGCCAGGACTGTGGGCCTGACAGTCAGTGTCACGGATGAAAACCAAACAGCGACCAGAAGTCAGGAATTCTTTTGAAGCACGGACCCTACAATTCCTGTGCCGGAGGGTAAAGATTGATGTGTGCGCGGTTCCTCCTCCCTTCGGGCCGCGCGTCCGGAACGTTCCTGGCTGTCAGGTGGGTGGCGCGGGCCCGGCGGGAAGCCCTGCCCGGCCGCCTTGCGTGGCGCGCGACCGGAGAGGGGCGAGCCCCGCGGAGCACGGCGGGTCCCGAGGCCGGCCACTGCTCACCTTTGTTCCCCTGCCCTCGCCGGGGGGAGGAGAGAGCAGCGCCCAGGAGGAGGACAGGGGGCGACCCTAACGCTCCGCGGCTCCTCCCCGGCGCCCGAGAGGAAATCCGTGGCAAGCCAGACCCTCTCTGGCTCCCAGAAAGCCAGCCCGGCAGGGGGGGTCAGCAACCCCTCCCCGAACACAAAGGTTTGGAGGCGTGAACGCGAGCGTTGGGGGCTCGGGGGCGTGCGCTGCAGAGCACGCGAGTGTGCGTGTGCACGCGAGTGTGTGTGCGCGCGTGTGTGTGCAGGGGGAGGGGAGGAGGGGCTCCAGCCCTTCTTACCTCTCGAAGATGAGCCGCACCATGAAGATGCAGAAGGCCAGGGGAAAAGCGAGGTAGAGGTCCTCAGCCTGCGGGAAGGTGGCCTCATCCGTGTTCTTCAGGTCCGCCCAGGTGACATTGTGCGGGAGCCAAAACCTCTCGTTCCAGAACCAGGCTAAGATCCCTGCCATCTTGCTTTGTCCACTCCTGTCCTGCGGCACCCGCAGCCCGCCGAGCTCTCCACCGCGCAGGGCGTCCAGGGATGCGCGCCCGGCTGGCCCCGAGCCTGTGCCGCCGCCGCTCCTGCTCGCAGCCGCCTCCTCCGCAGCCGCTGCTCTCGAAGGCTCGCGGCGAGCCCCAGTTCTCTCCTCCCTCTGGCCGCGCTGGGAAAAGGGGCCGCCTCGCCCGTCACATGGCAGCTCGGGCCGCCTGCCCTGATTGGCTAGTCTTCGCGTCAAGCAGCGAGGCACACACGCGGCCAACTCGCCCACGCCCGGAGGGCAGGGCTGCGCCCTAGGCGCGGGGGCACGGCTCAGGAGAGTGCTGCCTGCCCCGGCTCTCACCGCACTCTCGCTTTGTGCTTACGGCGACGACCCGAAGTCGGCCCCCCGAATCCGCCCTAGCCTCCTGGCTTGCTCGCACATGCTCAGAACGCTGACTCCTGCCCCGCTCTGGTTTCCGGGCTCTCAGCCCTCTTCCCTGGCGCCCGGAGACGGTAGGTCGGCAGGTACGGGCTGCAGCCGAGCTTCAGAACCAGCCCTGCCCGAGAGGACAACAAAAGGAGAACTAGGGGGTGGAAAGTGCAAAGGAGGAAGTGGGAGGGAGAGGATCCTCCACTCCCGCGCTTGGAGAGGCAGGTTGAAAAATCAGGAACTGAGGCAGGATGGTTTGGCAAGAGCCGTCTGCCTCTGCCCCACGCCAGCCTTTCCCCAATCTTTGACTTTCCGGCCCCTTATACTACTACTTCTCATCAAAGAAGCTCCCCCAGGGAACAAGCCCCCCTGTGTTGATTTATGAGGTGGTACAAAAATTAGGCACTTAATTGCAATTTAATAATTGGTACTTGAAGACAATAATGACGATGATGATAGCAATTGCAGCGTTCTGTAAAACCACCCTTCTCAACCAACCTCTCTGAAAAGGCTGCTGGGCCACATTTTGAACTCGCAGATTATGAGAGCCTCCACTCTGCTACTCGACAGGCTCCTTATTTCTGCCTTTGAATCTGAAACCTCCAAGGCATAAGGCCTGTGAGGCCTAACCCAGGCACCTTCCCTCCCGCAATGCATTTCCCCATTAATACAGGAGCCCTGTGTGAATTTGTTTCATGGCCCATGTATACCTGGTTCTGAGGTATTTTTCTTCATTTTTCTGGCAGTATAGCTGCGGGTAAGCTATACTGAACCTTTCCAGTGGGCATATAACTTCATACACACACACACACACACACACACACACACACAGTTTCTCTTACTCTTCCTTCCCCTCTTTCCCCTCTGTTTCTTGAAAGTGAAACTGAAGAATGGTCTGTACTGGTGCTTCCAATTTCTCTCCCCTCATTTTCTTTTGAACTTCCATTGGGACATTTGCCTCCTCTGCTGCATTGAAACTGCTCAAGGTCACCTGTGATCTTCATGCTGCTAAACACAAAGGTTAGTTCTTATCTTAGTTCAGGCTGCTTAGACTAGGCGGCTTAAACAGCAGAATTTATTCCTCATGGCTCTGGAGGCAGGGAAGTCCAAGATCAACGTGCAGGCAGATCCAGTGTCTGACAAGGATCTTCTTCCTGGTTTGAAAACAGCTGTTTTCTTGTATATCCTCACATGACAGAGGGCACAGAAAGAGGAAGCAAGCTCTCCTGTATCTTCTTATAAGGGCACTCATCCCATTCATGAAGGTTCTACCCTCGTTAGCTAATCACCTCCCAAAGACTCTATCTCTGAATACCATCACATTGGGAACTAGGATTTCAGCATATGAATTTTGAGCGGACACATTCAGTTAATGGCAGTTGACAACACCTCTGTCAGTAGCACCTGGCCCAGTTGTCAGGTCCTGGGTGTTGAAACATTGTTGACTTGACTTCCAAAAACCTCACTCTTCTGGATTTCTTCCTCCCTCATGGCCACCTCTTCTCAGTCTCCTTCCTGATTATACCTCACTTTTCCAACCTCTAACTTGGAGCAGCCTCGTAGTCCGTCTTTGTCCTCTTCACTTTCTGTCTGAATGTATTCATTTGGTGATTTTATCTAGTCTCGTGGCTTTTAATGACATCTGTATGACCTCCAATGTCATGTTAATAGCTCCCATATTTATATCTCTAGCCATGAACTTTTTCCTGACTTTCTGACTCTTAAATCCACTGTTGATTTAACAACACCACTCAGATGTCTAAAAGCCATCTCATGACCAAACTATTAATCTTCCCCTTAAAGCCTCTTCCTCCTATAGTCTTGGCTCAAGCCAAAAATGTGGAGTCATTTTTTTCCCTTCTCTCTTTGTCTCATACTGCCGTTCTAATCCATCCCAAATGTCAGCACCATTTTAAAACCATAATCTCATCATCTTTCACCACCTCCTTTGCTACCTTTTTGGTCCAAACAACCAACATCTCTCATCCATGTTACTCCAGTAACCTCCCAACTTTCAGTTTCACCCTTTGCCCCTCTACAGTCTATTCTCAGCAAGTGTGATCCTATGCAAATTTGTCAGATCACTCCTGGGGCAAAAACCCTGCTTCTTCCCCATCCAGCGCAAGTGAAATCCAAATTATTCCAATGACCTGTGATATTTGACTCCATATGAGCTCTGACTCATTTACTATTCCCTCTCCCTCACTCTGCCTGAGTCCACACTGGCCACCCTGCCCTTCCCAGGACACACCAGCCATGCTTTAGAGCCTTAGAGCTTGCTTTTCTCTGTCATACAAATATCCATGTTTGCTCTTTCCTGATGTCACTTTCTCTCTGAAGCCTTCCCTGGCTGCCCTAGTTAATTTTCCTCCCTCTCTCCCCACCACCACTCCTCCTCCTGCTTTGTTTTCCTCCAAGGCACTTACCACCGTCAACACAAGATATATTGTACTTATATCTTCATTAATTGTCTACACACACGCACTAAATGTAAGCTTCAGAAAGTTAAAAAATTTGTGTTTATCAACTGTTCTATGCCTAGCACTTAAAAAACTGCCCAACACCTAGTAGATAACCAATAAACTATTGAATAAATGAATCAACATTACTCCAACCCCAAAAAGTCTTCTCAGGGCGAAGAAAAAAATCTGAATAATTGTGTTAAATGTTTATATATCTATGTTAGACTCATGTGAAGAATAGTGTGGGCAAAAAGAAGGGATTAGTCAATTCTAGGGTGAGGGAGGTGTCATTGAAGTGAGTCTTCATTCGGTAGTAGAAGTCACCATCACCACTCCAGACCACATGGCCAGCTGCTCAGTAACACTGGAACATGCCTTGGCACCAACTGCCACAGATAGAGGTTTGTTAAGACTTCTCACCACCTCTGTGGTCGAAATTCATGTCATGGTGAGCCTATCCTTCTGGGCAGCCAGATTCTTCTGTGACTCCCCCTAGTTCCTCATGTCACTCCCTCCTGTATGACCTGATAGTACCTTGTCTCCTACCCCATGGTTTCTGTGGTCTCTAGCAGCTCCTTCTAGGTCCCCAAGCATGTATAATAGTGTTGGTGAGTTAATGCCCTAGGATCTGACTTTGATCTTGGGCAATGAAGACAGTGGGTATATTTTTATTCCTTTCTTTCCCACCCCTCAGACATACACAATGGCTTCAAACAGCCTCTCTGAAAATATCCCCTGATACAAACCCATCATTTTATTTCAAGGTTGTGACCCACTGTGTAACTCACCCCCTTATATTTCCTCTCCTCTTTCTCATCTCACTGTCCTTTTCCTTCATTCCTGCTTCCCTGAAACTACACTTCCCTGAAACTTAGAGGCTAAACTCATAGGAGACCAAAAGATAATGTGGTTCTTCCATTCATCAAGTTTTAGAAGGTGGTGGGATTTCAGGAACATTTTGAAAGGTGAGTTTTGTTGGATGGTGGAAAGAGGCTTTAGTATTTTTTTATGAATTTTGCATAAGTTCCTTTGTTTCTAAGAGCATGTTAATAACCTCCTGCATCAACAGTATCTGTCTTGCCTCTGTCACTATTATGAGGCTCATATGAGATAACATATGAGAAAGTGCTTGTAAAATATTCCCCTCTATACCTATGTACAGTGCAGCAAACACCTCCTCTTTATCTGTCTAGTAGAACTCCTCCAGCCAATGGCCCCTTCCTACCACCCTGCATCTAAATGTTTGCCCTAGAAGCATAATAGAGTAAAATATCATTCCAAATATGATCACATTTTATTGGTCCAGAGATGGACAATGGTCCCAAGATGGCAATAAAAGTCCTTTTTCAGGTATTGTAAGTCAGGTCAAGACAGCCTTTCTCTGGATGTTTAGATTCAAGGATTCAAACTCAGAAGCTATTGGCCCCCTTGTATCATTATACAGCTAGAAAAAGTATAAGATACTCTACAACAAGAGAGAAAAATAAGACAGACCTGTAGAGTTAAAAGACACACAGAGAGTCCTGTTGGCATTGGAGCTCCAGGTTCCATTTAATACCTAGGGGACACTGCCTTCTCATCCATAGATTCTATGAAACAGACTCATATCTTAATTCTGCTTTGGGGTTGAGTTGCTGTTATTTCAGTTCCCAAAAGTCCCACTGTCCAAGACATTATTCTAAGAGTAGATGTCTTTTTTTTTCTTTTTAGGAGATGGGGGTTGCACTATGTTTCCCAGACTGGTGTACAGTCCCACTACTGATTGGCGTGGGAGTTTTTACCTGCTCAGTTTCTAGTCTGGGCCAGTTCACACCTCCTTAGGCAACCTGGTAGTTCCCTGCTCCCAGAAGGTCACCATATTGATTCTGAACTTAGTGCAAACACCCAGTTGGCATAGTGCACTACGGCCCAGAACTTCTGGGCTCAGTCCTCTTGCCTCAGCCTCCTTCCCAAGTAGCTGGACCACAGGTGCATACCACTGCACAGCCAGAGTATGTGTCTTTAACAGTATCCTGAGCCCAGCTCAGGCCCTAAAGAAGTTAGTCACAGGAGGGGGATAGCACAACATACCTCCAAAGAAAGCTACTTTGTAACTGTACAAGAAAGACTTCTAATTGTTGCCCCAGGAAAACAAAATACAATTTATGCATCAGACTAACATGCAGCCCAGTGAGGAAGTAAGTAGCTGCTAGGTAAATAGAAGGGACAAGGCAAGAGAAAAGGTGAGCAAAAAAAAACGTGTTCAGGGGAGGTGACACCAACTAGACTGCATATTAGGTGTACAAGTCTTTCTTGTACAGTTACAAAGTAGCTTTCTTTGGAGGTATGTTGTGCTATCCCCCTCCTGTGACTAACTTCTTTAGGGCCTGAGCTGGGCTCAGGATACTGTTAAAGACACATACTCTTGCTGTGCAGTGGTATGCACCTGTGGTCCAGCTACTTGGGAAGGAGGCTGAGGCAAGAGGACTGAGCCCAGAAGTTCTGGGCCGTAGTGCACTATGCCAACTGGGTGTTTGCACTAAGTTCAGAATCAATATGGTTTGTTTACTGAATAGAAAGCATCACCTGAAAATACACCCTTTTTTCCAAGCAACTGGGAAATATCAGCAAAGCTGAGCTTTTTCTCTCATTCTCAGGTCCACACCCAGGTCTTAATTTGAGT